CTGACATCGCTTGAGCACGCGAGAAAGATTCGACAAGCAAATATCGAATGAAGAACCAAACACGGAGAAATCGTCCATAAACACTTCTATGATATTTTCAACCATACTCAGAGAAGATAGATAACATGCACCTTTGAAACGTGGCTGGTGCATTGCAAAGACCAGATGGCATTCTTCGGTATCCAAACACACGAATGGGCAAGTAAAAACGAGTCTTTTCTTGGTCTTAGAGTGCTGCTGATATTTGATTATAACCTGAATAACCGTCTAAGAAGCAATAATAAGCGTACCCAGCCAGCCTCTCTAACATTTGATCCATAAATGGCAGAGGAAAATGATCTTTACAAGTTGCGTCATTTAACCTACGGTAATCCACGCACATCCTCCAACCAGTTATTGTCCTAGTCGGGATTAACTCGTTATTGTCATTTTTAATTACTGTAACCCTTCCTTTCTTAGGAACAGTTTGTACCGGGCTTACCCACTTGCTATCTGATATCGGGTAAATCATACCCGCATCCAGAAGCTTTACAACTTCTTTTTCTAACCACTTCTTTCGTAGTAGGATTTAATCTCCTCTGTGGTTGACGAACTGGTTTGACCTCATCCTCCATTAAAATCTTATGTTTACAAAAAGAAGTATTTACACCTTTAAGATCTGAATAGGTCCACCCATTAGCAGTCTTGTGTTCTTTCAAAACACATATTAATTTTTCTTCATCTTTCTGTAGCAATGAATTATTAATAATTACTGGATAAGTATCACCATTGCCAAGGTAGACATATTTCAAGGTGGGTGGAAGTTCTTTTAATTCTAACTTCGGAAATTCAGGTGTTTGGACAGTTGTTGTCTTATTTTACTTGAGATTCAAGGTCTAAAGATCCAGGCTCATCGTCGACGACAATATCAATTGCTTTTACAACTTCTTCCAACAAAGCTTCCATTTAGCGGTTCAGGAGTTTGTAAAATCTTAGCAAATAATTCTGCAATTGTTGGTGCTGCATTAATTTCATCTGTGATTGCTGCTACAGCTTTGTCAATCACGTCGATTTGAAAACAGTCACCTTTTTCTTCTGGGCATTTCATGGCTTCAAAAACATTGACTGTAAATTGCTCACCATTGACCCTAAATAGAAGCTCTCCCTGCTCAACATCAATTAAGACTCTAGCTGTGGCTAAGAAAGGTCTTCCTAAGAGAAGAGGTACTTCAGTATCTGCTTCCATATCTAAAACCACAAAATCTGCAGGAAAAATATAGTCATTTACTTTTACCAACACATCTTCAACCACTCCTTCAGGCCTCTTTATAGATCTGTCTGCCAGTTGTAATGACAGAAGTGTGGATTTTAGTTCAGTGATTCCTAAAGATTTGGCAAAGGATAGTACCAGGATCTTGAAGCTTTGGTGGTATTTTCTTTTGAATAATAGCACTGCATTCCGCTGTCAAAGACACTGTTTCCATTTCTTCTTTAAGCTTGTGCTTTCTTGAAAGCAAGCTTTTCATAAACTTTGCATAACTTGGCATATTTTCTAAGGCTTCAACGAATGGAATATTTATTTGCAGCTTTTTAAACATTTCTAAAAATTTAGAATACTGTTGCTTTTGTGCTGATTGTTTCAGCCTTTGAGGATATGGGGCTTTAACATACGGGTTGTCTCCCAGCGCTTTCATTCGTTCTTCCAAAGAAGGCTTCTTTACGATTTTTTTACGTGGGGTATCATTTAATGGTCCTCCAATAATTGTGACATCTCTATCAACATGACCATCAACATTTTCTTCAGCAGGCTTTTCTTTTTCTGAGTCGTTTTTACTGCTTGATGCAGTGGTAGTCTTTTCTACAGGTGTGATTACGATTCCACTTCTTGTAGTTATAGCTTTACACTGTCCTTTAGGATTAACGATTGTGTCACTAGGAAAATTACCTGGAGGTCTTTCGGCCATCTGTCTAGCAAGCTGACCGATTTGATTTTCCAGATTCTTTATGGAAGCTTCTTGATTCTTAAAAGATGCTCTCGTTTCTTCTGCGAAATTTGTTTGAGATTGAGTCATCTTTTCAAATGCAACTTCCCAAGCGGCTTTCTGATTAGGTTGATCTTGTTGGAAATTTGCATTATTTTGTTGATGCCCAGATTTGTATGACAGACCAGGATGGTTTCTCCAGCTCGGATTATACGTATTTCCATAAGGATTTTCTCTCCTCTGGTTATTCCAGATTCCATGAACCTGAGCCGGATCAATCGTTACTGTAGCGTCACAGTTTTCAGGAGTGTGTGGTCCACCACAAGTGTCGCAAACTACAGGAAATTGCGAATTAACCGCAGAGATTTGATTTTGGGTAAAGAGTTTAACAAGTGAATCCAACCTTTGATCCATCTTGTCTTGTTTGGCTAACATAGCGTCGTACCCATCTAACTGCAACACTCCTTTCTTAGGTTGAACTGGTGTGACATCGTTGTCTTCAGATGCCATCTTCTCAATTAGTTCAATAGCCCTTGTGGGAGTGATTTCTCCGATACTCCCTCCAGCTGCAGCGTTAAGAAGTACTCGATAAGTTGGAGTAACTCCTTTGTAGAAAATTCGGACCTTCTCGCCATTAGATAAAACGTATTGGGGACATCTCCTGATTAGTTCTTTAAATCTTCCCCATCCTACGCACAGACATTCGCCTTCGAGTTGCTTGAAGTTGTCAATTTGTTCCTTCAACTCAGAGAATCGGGATAATGGGAAGAACTTCTTTTGGAATTTCTCAACCAAATCTTCCCACGTGGAGATGCTATTAGCAGGTTGCAATTCCAGCCAATTAAGTGCTCTTCCTTTTAAAGAAAAGGGAAACATCATCAAACGGATTTCTTCAGGAGGAACCCCATTAGCTTTGATGAGGCTACACAATTGTAAGAATTTAGTGATGTGGCGGTTTGGGTCTTCGATCGGGTCTCCTTCGAATAGATTACTTTGAATTAAATTCAGGAAAGAGGCTTTTATTTCAAAGTTGTTGGCATGGATTTGAGGTCTCCTAATACTCGCAGTTGGATGCGAGAAATTAGGGTTTAAGAAGTGACTCATCAGTTCTTCAGGTGGATTTTGGTTATCTTCCGCCATGACTAGTCCTTCCGCAGAGTTGGAGCTCGATGCTTCTCGTGTCTTCTTTGCGGTCAAACGTTTCCTATTAGTTCTTTCTAAACGTCCTAACTCCGGTTCGTACTGTAGGTCACTGGGATTAACAGTGCCTCGCAAATGCATAAACCAGAAAACTAAGGCTCAGTGGACCAACTAACGGAAACCACTAACTAAACAGAAATTTTTTTTTTAAAGCAAACAAATTAAAATAAAATAACTAAAATAACAATAAAAACAATAAGATATTTAAACTAACACAGCAAAATAAATAACAATAAAATGATCCAATCTATAATTTGATAGATAAAATTAATGTTGATTAAATCAGTCCCCGGCAACGGCGCCAAAAACTTGTTGACCCTCTCGGCAAGTGCACCGGTCGTACAAGTAATAAAGTGATAAAGTAGAGTTGTCGATCCCACGAGGACTGATGACCAAGCAATAATCTATTTATTTAATTAAAGTTGGATCGATCATTAAAGGTTTTCTTGAGAATATTGTGATTAAAGTAAAAACAGAATTTATAAACTTATTTTTGGTTTTTAATATTTAATTCAGAATTAATTAAAGCTAAAAGAAATTGATTTAAGTTTTCAATAAGAAGGCGTAGTTAGGATTCAACTTCCCCAATGGTTTCTTAACGTGTTTGTCTATTCTCACGATTACATGCAAGATTAAATTATTAACAATTCTTTCTATGATTGATTAAATCTCAATCCCTTGGTAATCCAATCCTTTACTCTAATCCAAAGCCTAATCCCTTAGTACTTTCTCATAGAATAAGCATTAACGCAAGAACTCAAGTTATAAAATTCACAAGTCTATCCCTAGATCATGCAAATTCCAGCAATCAACCAATCGGAATCACATACCAACATCCCTATTGTCATATGTGACTCGTATGTTTATCTACGAGTGATCAAGTCATAAATAAAACTAATCATATATATCCGATTGATTGCATAATTCAAAGACAAGAATATAATTCATAAGAATAAACAAACATCAACTAAGAACCCATTGGTTCTGTATCTTCCTAACTACTGAAAGTAATTTAGCCTAACATACTCATAAAGACAGAATTAAAATCTACTGTAAAAGAAACTGAGTTCATGGTAAACTTGTCTAAAAGTGATGATCAATGGTGCAGAGTTGACTCCTTCCTTCTCCTCTGCCACGATCCAGTGCTACGCTTATGCTCCTTCCTTCGCTTCGTCTCAAGTGCTTTCTTTCTCCGCGTTTCCGAATATTTTTCACAGCTTCCATCGCGTTGTATTTAAAGGGAAAATGTGGGCTTTAATTTCCTGGTTTCGCTCGCTCCATCGGTCGCATATGCTAAGAACTTTGCGAGCTGCTCGCCCACTTGCTCGCTTTAGCGAGCAGTGGAGCGAGCGTTACCAATTTTATTTTATTTATTATTTAATCTCTGATTTCCCCGTTGGTCCGCGTATTCGTTGCCTCATTTTGTTACTTTGTTATTCCAGTATTCCAATCTTAACAACCTGAAACAACAACAAATATTTAGAATTTGCTTATTTGTTGGCAATTCATTCTGTTTTACTGTTTTATTTTTTTAACACTATATTTTTAACTATTTTAATAATTATTTGAACTCTTTTTATCCATAAAAACATAGTGTCTTAAACACTTATCAATGGGCATGTGGCTACACTAAAGTTGTTTAATGAATTTTTTATTGGTGATGTAATGAATAACTAAGTAGTATATATAATGAGTTATTAAGTTAGTGTTTATTTGGATATAACGTGTCTCTTAATTGGTATGTTTTCAATTTTAGTTTCTGACTTATAATAGATTTGGGTTTGTCTGATGAAGTATTACTAAACAAGAAAAAGATTCCCTCGTCCAATATTGTGTGTTCCATATTTTCTACGTCTTATTTTTATAACAGTTTTTACCTAATACCTAATGGACTAGCAACTTTGATGCTTTTATATAAAATAAAGTGGAATGGGTTGTTGATTTCAACATAGTTTTTGTTCTACTTGCTAAGTTCTTAGTCAATCATTTTTATTTTTATTTTGGAAAAGACTTTTTGTCAATCATTTTACTAGTTGTGTTAAAGAAGTACCAACTCGTTCACCAAAAGAACAAAAGAAAAAAGAAAAAGAAAATACCAACTCGTGAATATATTTAAAACAGTGTTATAAAAATTGGATAGATCCAGCCGGATTGACCTGGAAATCGGTGAACCGATCATGTAATTGGTCCGATTTTTATATTGGACCAGCCATATTACAAAATTGGTGTGACCCAGCCGGTTTTCGTAAAAATCGATGACCTGACCCGGTCTATAAAAAAAACTAATTTATTTTTATCAAATGATATCTTCTTTTTTTTACTTTCAAACACAAATGGTTTATTTTCTTTTGAAATATTTAATTGATTTGTAACTTATTAACTTACGTAGATTATGTACCTATAACACTAATATTATCTTGATTATGCAATATGCAGGGAATTTTGATTTAATTTATAGTTAGAGATGTCGTTTACTAAACCTGAAACACTAGTATCACAAATATTATATGTTTGATTGATCTTTTGTTGGACAATGATGTATAATTTATTGTTTTCATGTTAAAATATTTGAAATTGGTATATTTTTTTACAAGTATTTAAGTATATTTATAGTTTTTTAAATATAAATTATAGATTTACATATACTTACCGGATCATGCGATTGAACCAATGACCCAGTACCTCGACCGGATCAATAATCGGACAGGATTTAATAATATTGATTTAAAATCTGAGTCACGAGATCACTGTTTCTCTTGTGCCCCATTGCAACTTTCTTTGTACAATAGTGTTACTCATATGGATTATTTAACACTATTTTCACTAATTAAGTATCAAAATTATTTAAATAATGTACTAAAAAAATTATTTAAATAATAACTATTTTATACTTAATCACTTGACTATAATTAATTAATCAAAATATATGCCACGAATCCTTTTAATTAGTTTTTCTTGAAATTTTATCAAAGAATCTTCAGAGTTATTTTTTTTTTTTTTTGGTAATGAATCTTCAGAGTTATAATTACGAAATAAATCATTCAGGCATTGTCATGATAAGAAAGTTCTCCCAACAAATGGTTTTTTTTTTCAAAATTTCTGAGAGTGCGGGTTGCTTACCACGACATCAAAATGTTGTTAGTAATTTTTTATTTTTTGAATTGGTAATTAAATATATTCGATAATTGAATAAGAAAAGTAATGTAAGATAATATATATAAAGAGGAGAAGAATTATTATTTTTTCTACACTTGTTTATTTATTTGTGTTTCTTCAGCTATTCTTTCTTTCTTTTTGGATAAACCTTAAGAAAGTTATTTTATGGAGGGGACAGTGCGTTGTAGTAACATTTACTAATGATTATTTGCTTATTTAGTATTGTATGCCTCGTTTTATTGGTTTTCTATTTTAATGTTGATGAAATATTGATTTATTTGGTTTCAATTACGTGTTTATAGTTTGTCTATTGATCAGCCATTCAATAATTCATACAATTTGCTGTTTTTTTTTTTTTTTTTTTAAGTTGTGTTTGGTGCACGTTCTGTAGTTGTTTTTATATATTAATTTAAGAGCCTTGAAAGAAGTTCATCAGTTCAATGAATATTCAGTTAGATCACATATAAGGTTAAGTCTGGTACGATGAAAATCTGAGCCTTCACGGGGATAGATGTCATTGCGGGATATTTTGCAGGATGGATGAACTGATGTGAATAGTCTTGTTTGGTTGGGACAAGTAGAGAGTACCTCTGTAAGACACTCTATGTTTAAGTAAGTATTTAATTAATGAATTTTACTAAAGATGCATAAGATATATAATTATATCCTGGCTTCAACTTCTGTTATATAGTAGTTGGTTATTGTATCAAAAAAAAAAAAAAAAAATAGTTGGTTATCCTGCTAATAATATCGTCTTAATATGGTAATATTTAACTTCATTGATGAGCTGAAGTGATTTCTAGAGTCTATCACTTGCCCGAGGTGCCTATTTGTGGGCTATACTTTTTAGATGTAGTTGAAAATTTGTGTCAATTCCTTAGCTATTAATTATTAAGGTGGTTGTAGGCCTACAAGATGACATCAACGTGTGAGATAGACGCATTACCTTAACCTTTAAGTCTAATTTATATATATAAATAAAAAAATATTTCATCAAATTATCTATTCTAAAAGTACAAGAATTTTTTTTAATCAATTTGGCAAATAGCCTAGCTTTGGAATATTCAAATGAAGCCTTCACTTTTCATTCAATATAAAAAATTATTAGATTAATAATGAGAAGCTTGTCTTTCTTAATTACATGTTTAAAATTTAAACCTGTTCCGATTGTTTATTGATTTGATGTTTAAAATTTAAACCTTATTCGATTGTTTATTGATTTGTTCAAGGTATTGGGTCAATATATCACTCGTTTAAATTAATTTTATCTTTTACAAACACATGAAAGTATGTTGGTCCAATGTAGGATCATATGAAGAGAAGAGAAACAAAAATATGGATCCTACAAATTTTGTAGTAGAAGATAAAATTTATCTTCTAAAATATTGAATAAAATTATTTTTCAGTAAATTAAATTATTTTTGAGTTGATATAGAAAATTAACAACAATTTACTTGGCTACCATAACCAGCAAAGGGGTAAGTCCACGTCATTTTGTTTTCTCGGTGATGCCACATTGCCACCTACCAAAATTATATTTAATTTTTAATTTATTATATAAAGATAAACTCTTTTTTTGTTAACAACCAAAGTCTTCTGTCAATGAATTTTAAAATAGCGTATATTTTTTTATTTGTTACAAGAAACCGACAGCTGTTTTCCTCACTGCAATTATTAGTAGTTCATGAGAATGAAGAAAGTAAATAATTAGGATTTTTGATAATTAATAATAATATTTACACATTTTTAAAAAAAATTGTTTTTATGTGTGTTTTCAATAATAA